TGTACCACACAACTTAGCGGATTTTTTCCGCCTTTTTACAGGAGAAAAGGCAAAGGTGATTTCACCAAACAGCTGAAAGATGAAGATGGTTTTGGCGGGGGTGACGGGCCCAGAATCATTGTTGACCAGAATGGAATGGGACCTACAGGAGGTTACATCACTCGGTAGGTTTTCCAGAAGTTAGATAACGCGGTTTTCCCCGCAATTCTAGGATAAATAATGATGCACGGGAGGACGAAATGGATCAAAATATGCAAGAGGTCACAGGAATGATAGGAAATCTGCGAAACATGGCGATCGATATGGGGAGCGAAATCTCCCAACAGAACGCACAAATTGATCGTATTCACCTCAAGGTAACCTCTTTGACCCTCTCTATTTGAGTTTATATCTGACTTGCAGTGCTTAGTTGTTGACAATTATAAACCAATTTATATCCATAAAGCTGTGATATTTCCCCTCAACCAAAGTGGACTCACCACAAATCCATACCATTTTCCTAAATTTTACCTGGTTACAGATGCGTGAACATATTGACAGCATTGCACCTGGCGGTAGCCATCTTTATTTGGACCTCCGTAAGAAGTTGCAGGGCGATTGTCGAATTGATATTGATAGTTAGAAGACTGCAACGTCGATGGCTTAACAGTACTGGCGAAAATGTTGTTCCAGTGTTTTTAAAATTGAAAAAGAGTCGGATTGCAATTTTCAGCATACATGGCATGTTTACTTAAGCGTCTTATCATAATAATGGGAGCCGTTTGGATTTTGAATAAATAACTTAACCAAAACCTAACTGAAATTGTACTTATAGGATTTCTAGTAATGATTATAGAGACAACGCAGTTTCTATGAAGTTGGTGTAACAACGGCTTTGTCAAGTATGACGAAATTATAAATATGTTGCTGAAACATAGTAGGTAACATTACAATTAGCCATGTGGCAGGGTTTGTGGGTGCACGAACCACACAAGGACATCAACGACCAGGGCGGGTGTGCCCTTTATCTGATCGGTGTACGCCTATCTACTAATGTATGGTTCCGGTCAACAACCGTCAAGACGTCGAGCCCGATAGCTCGATGGATAGGGCGTGCGCCCCTGACCAGAGAGACGCGGGTTCGAAACTCGAGTGTGGC